ACTGATTGTCTTCTGCCTGACGAGAGAGAGTAATTGCTTCTGTCAAAAGTAGACCAGCTGCGTATTCTCCACAGAGCAGAGTGGAAGTCTGACTAATCTCAGCTGTTACTGACAGTAAAATAATATCTTTTCACCTGCAGGACAGGAGAAGACACAAAATGATAGGAATTTGGTGTTTAGACAAGAACAATAGAAACAATTCTGTGGCACCATCCCCTGATTTTAGCCTTGAGAACTTCAAGCGGTACTGGGACAACTACAGACACGTCCACCAGCTACAGCATTTCCCAGAATCAGTGTTACGCCATCAACCGGCAGAGCAGGGTGCAAACCCAACGTCACCTTCAAAACAATTTATTTTCCTCAGAAAAAGATAGAGCAGATGGCAGGATGAATATTTCCCATCTCTACCAACTACAGACGCAGGTTCTTTTGAAATGAGCAGTGGTTGAAATCAGGCGTCGACATGACAGGTGATAATTCATTATTCATTACTGTTCTGCAACTTCAGTCTAATGCGATCTTTAGTCCAATGGCCTTTATTTTTAACGGAAAACAAACCTTTACTGTATATAATCTATATTTTTATCATTTTATATTGTATTTTATTGTTTCATCCTCCTGTGCTGCTGTGATTTTATCTCATCTTAAATCTGTGCATTGACCTACGTGAGAATCCAGGTAAGCGGCTGACAACATCATACAGGTGATTCACCCAGCCGCTACACTGCAGCCCATGACTCGTTTGTCTCGACGTTGCATCACACCTGAGTGAGTGTTACAGTTGTTGCGACACATACACATACACAGACTCCATTTCCCACAACAACAGTATTTAAGGCAGAGTTCCCAATGTATGAAAACCTTTTGATCAGGTAGATTGATCCAGCCAATCACAGACATTTGGCCCACTCGCCTGGGGACAGTTACTTCAAGTGTCAGTGACCCTTCAATATATGACGCTATCCCTCTCGTGCACAGGTTCCCCACTAGGGGTCGCCAAATGAGGCGTCACGAGGCCTTCTTGATTGGGGTTAGCGTAGCTGCTGCTAGCATCAGTTCTGAACAGTATTTCCTCATTGAAAGATCAATTTATTCTAGAGATTGACTACGGTTCATTGATCTGATTGGTTGATCATCCAATCACCTGGCCTGTAAGTTCCCAAAGCAACCAGATTGTTCTGTGTAACAAACCATCCAGATAAAATAAATGAGTTTTAACATCAAGCCTTATTCTGTCTACAGTCATTGGTCGGTATGTTGAAAGCTGGTGAATACAGCACAATGTACGTAATGAACTTCTTATTATTGCATTTAAAGTGTTGTGAAGACTGGAACGGGGGCTGAAGGCGGGGGGGTTGTGGTGCTCACTTCCCCTCTTTAAACCCCACACTTTTAAAATCCAGCAATGCTCTGATGGATGGAGGAACACGACACCCCGCGGCAGGAATATTCCTGTTAATGTTCTAGATAACGATGCATCCGTGTGTGAAAGGGTTTGTTTCTGCAGAAATATTAATAAAATAAAAATAATAAACGGAGGGGAAAATCCACACTGATGGGTCTTCTGTGTGTTTTCATGCGCACAGAGCGGAGGTGTGATTAGTGTTTGCAGTGTAACAGTAGGACGCTGATTGTACAAACACTTTCACGGCTGTGATTGAAGCTTCATTACTGAGACTCCCACTGATTCAACATATTACTGAACATTACGACCTCAACGGGGTGTTTCTATGAGTTAAAATAAAAAGACTTTAAAATGTCCCCAGTGGAACACAGAAACATTCAACAACCTACTAGTATTAAAATTAGTCCTCACTCCCATCTTCAGCTCATCTGAATTTGAATAAGAATTCACAGAATTTTGACTCTGATAAATATGGATTGGTTGATATTCACACAGTGGTCGACTGTTGACAGGCAGATTTTCTTGATGAAACCAAACTCCAGGAGTCTGTAACAGGAACTGGATGGAAGAACTGGAGCTCCAGCGTCTCAGGCCAAAACAATAAGTGTTACTGCCCACCAGACTCCACTGACAAAACCACTCATTTTACCAAGATAATTCAATAATGCAAAACTTCCAGAAATAAAATAAAAATCACCAAAACCATCTTTGTTAGCTTTTACCAACAATCACAAATTCTCGTTTGTTTATAATAAATCATTAATTCACAGAGTTAATATTGAAAATATTAATAAAAAAGGGCTGCACGTTAATCCTCGGAGACAAATGCGACCGTCAAAACCACAAACAGTCGTTATATCACCATCACTCTCCACCAGACTCCAGAGACAAAAACACTCATTTTACCTTCAGATCACCATAACTTCATTAAAGTGGACAGAAA